TAGCAACTAGTGCTGTCCAAACCTAGTATGACACCGTCCCATACCGGTTCATACAATCCTCCACATCCATGTAATTGACAGAACATATAATAATTCAGCAATTAAATCCACGATCATGTAACAATTACAGACTATTAATAATAGTTCAGCAATTAATATCCAAAAACAAATCCATCCATGTAATTAAACGAGACAAAGTTTAGTAACTCATTAAGTTAAAATCCAGCATCCATCCCGTTAATTGACAGAAAATATAAATATAATTCCTCAATTAATTCCAGGCCAAGCATTGAATTAGATTTATAAAGCCTAAGTACTGGTTCAGCAATTTAAATCCAAATCCTAACCCAAATAATTGCAGTGTAATGCTTAATATTACAGCAATTGTAATTCAAATCTTACATCCATGTATTGCAGAAAAGAATTTAATATCTTAACCAATAATGTCCAAACTATACATAGACCAAACTTGTTAATTAAATGGTCCTAACATGCCACCAAAAATTAAGATTTATAATTATAATAATATTTCGTTAAATTGCTAAAGTTTACTTAAGCAATTAAGCTCATTCCATCCGTTAACCGCCTGTACTGTTATATACTTTTCTACGGTTAAATTCATGAGTACTAAGACCTTAATTTATTAAAGATAGCATGGTATAATGTTTGGAATCCATGTTCCAACTCTTTTTAATTTTTAGACACAGTTTGCACAGTTAAATCCTTTCGATCCGCTAAATCCGTAAACTGCCTGCGACTTGCCTTAGATTTTCCTACGGTTTAAAACATTAGCATATAGTTAAATTAATGCACCCTAAGGCTTAAAAACTTCATGAATTAATTTTTTTAAAAACCTTTCCCTAACTCAACACAGTTCAGAAAGTCTAATTTGAACTCAAACAGTGCCAAAAATATCAAACAGTGCCTTAAAACTAACCACAGAACGTAAAAGAAAAGTGGAGCCGGCTCTAAACAAGTTGAGCAGGCTCCAAAACACTTTGGAGCCGGCTCCTATACTCTTGGAGCCGGCTCAATGAAGGGGGAGCCGGCTCCCAACTTCCTGGAGCCGGCTCTCACCTCATTTGAGAGCCCCATTCCCCTTTTTGCTCCGGCACCGACCCTCTGCTTCATCTCTGGCATATTTCTACCATTCAGTTGATTTATAAAACTGATTCTAAGGGTTCTAGGAGTATCCAGTAACATCTTAAACATTAGTTACACTAGTGGGCATCATTGAAAAATCTTAGAACACTTACCAAATAGAATATGCTTAAAGACTAACACTGAAACTCAATAAGCACAAACTGAAACAGATTAAATTGCAACACATAATTAAATAGGATAAAACTAACCCCATGAGTTTTATATAACCCCAGTAGCACTCCCCTATTTTATATTCAATGGTTGCAAACAAATACAGAGATTAAATGTGCTACCGATTTAGCATGCGTACAGATTTAATAGTGAAACCAAACTTTAAAATAAAATGATTTCAGTTTAATTTCAACCCCTATAGATAATTAATTTATCATATACTAAGCATGCATGATCCGTTTAATACCCTAGAGAACAGCTATGAATGCACAGAACACAAGCCAAAGGGAGAGAGACAGAATAGAACTTGCCTTTGTAACTTTAGTTTGCCGTCCTCTGTCTAGACTTTCCGGTGACCTCTTGACTATCATCCACTCCATTGTTGCCCTAGGTTCAACCCATGAGTAGCATCCCTTCCTCCTCTCCTTGGTTCAACCTTAATTCTTGGCCAAAACCCTCGTCTCCTCCTCTGTTTTCCTCACTATCTCTCTCTGTTCCCTCTCTGTTCTCTCTCCATTATATTGTACGTGTATAAGGTTTCCACCCTTTGAAGACCATAGCAGTATATATATATATAAGCCCCAAGAAACCCTAAACCCAAATCCTAATCCACGATGGAAAACTTAATTCTAGTCGACGTGAGATGTACCAAACTCAAACCCTAATTAACATTACAATTAAATACAAAATTTAAATTTAAATCAAATGGAAACAAAAAAATAAAATAATTAAGCACCTAGCCACATAAATACCAAAAATAATTAAAATAAATAATGAAAACAATAAAATAAATATTAAAATTCCAATTATAACCCTTACAAAATCAGGGGTATTACATTATGAACCTCCACTCCTACCTTCACTGAATGGCAAACTTTCAGAACACTACCCTCAACCAACCAGCAAACTGGTCAAGCCAAACCTTCCTCTAAATAAACCATCTAACATAGCATCTACGTCCAAACAACCTACCCCTGCCAAAATATCAAAACCACAGCATACAACACCTGCCACATTCCCAAACTCCATACAATTACAGCACAAAAACCACCAGACCAATGTATCCTCCAACCTACAAACAAACAAAATCCCAAAAAACACTCAGATCATCACAAGGTCATCGAAGCCACCATTACACAAAAAGCAGCCCACAAAACATGATCTTACTCCATCACACACTTACCCTCCAGCAAACTTCAATCCATCACTCTATAACTCTCCTGGCCATCAGATTGAAAGACTCCAAGAGCAACTACAATGGTCTGAAGAGAACCTGGGTAAATCAATGGATATGCACTATGGAAAAAATAAGACAATTTCTGAACTGAGAGATGAAGTTTCTAAGCTCAGGTCATTGATTCCTCAGTCACATTCACTTCCAGCTACCTCCACTACCACAGAGGTCACATTCACTACGGCTCCACCACCAACAGCGGCAGTAACAGCAGAGGTCCATTCTCCACCAACAATCTCCACCATCACCTCTCCCCCAATAGCTGTATTACATCACCATCCACCACTTCTAAACTCCACAACCACCATCCCTGCCACCGCAACAGAGGCTCCACCAGTGCTGGCCACAGGATCGAATTCAAATTTGATTTTCAAATCTCTAAGTTTGGTCAATTCTACTTTGTAGGTTGCACCAGTACAGATTGCCCAGAAAGGAAATAATTTCACATGCTATTCAGCTTGCCTCACCCCAGCTCCCAACTTTAAGCATAAAATAGTTGACCATCCACCACCACAATTAAAATTTCCAACCCCAACTTTATTCACAGATAGCATAGCTACTGTTCTAGCACTGACATACCCTATAACACTGCCACCCCCATTCACTAGTCAATTTCCACTCCCTGACAAACAGCCACAAGCAAAGTCTTGGTCCAATGTTGTGGAACATGGGATAAACAAAATGAAGTTTGTCTACATAGCCCCCTCCTCTGAGAATCCCTACATCATTGATCCTCCAAAAAAGGTGGTATATGAATGATTGAATTTCTGGTCTTTTTACCACTTAGTGGGATTTTTCATTCACAAAAAATTACCCTTCAAGGTAGTACAAAATGCTACAGCTAAATTGTGGAAACCTTTTGGGTTAACTGACACCATCCTAGGAGAGAACAACTCTTATATTTTCAGGTTCAAATCTTCATCCGAGGTGGAAAATGTGTTATCTCATGGTCCATGGTCAATAGCTGGCCACCCCTTCTCACTTCGGAAATGGAGTCTGAACAACCAATCTCAGCCTACTGAAGCAGGATGTTTACCTATATGGACAAAATTTTACAATGTTCCACACAATTACTGGACAGCTAATGGCCTAAGCCACATTGCAAGTGCTGTAGGGGAGCCACTCTATGCTGATGAAGCCATAGAAACAAGAACCAAGCTGAAATTTGCAAGAATCTGCATCAACCTTGACCTCAACAAACTTTTAAAGCATGAGGTTCAACTTAAAATGGAGGACATGTCTTTAGTGGACATCAGAGTAGAGTACCAATGGCTTCCAAAAATATGTTTCAAATGCAATCTCCTCAACCATACAAAGCCTAATTGTCCCCTCAACTTCATCAACAAAGCTCACGGGAAAGATGCTGCAATCAAAGACCACAGCCCAGCAGTTCAACCAACCACTGAGTGGGTAACAGTCAGGAAGAAGAAGAACAAAGGCACCTCAATTGTTAATAAACCATCAACACCAACCCCCACAAGCCCTCAACTTCCAATCAATTCTCACCACTTCAACATTATCACCTGGACACTAATAACCTTGACACTCCTTCACCAGTACAAATCCTCTCCTCAAACAATACTAGCAACACATGGTGAGTAATTCCATCACTGAAACTCAGTCCTATACAGCATCACCATCCCCACCTTATTCCCCCCTCTGTAGTAGGAAACTAAACTTCTCATCACCAAAAAACACTACAACATCTCCTCACAGCCTCCATGCATCTTCCATGCCACAACCCCAACACAAAAATAGTCCCCTCCACCACAACAGTAGTCTACCAAACTCAGTCCTTCAACACAAAAACCACAGAAAATACACGCCTCTTTCTAAGAAATACAGTCCTTCCAAGAACACAGATATGGCCCAGAGCCATGCTACCCCACCATTATATACTCTAATGGCTGCAATGGCCAACAATCACCTCTCCAGCCCACCCCTTCTGGCTTCATCTTCTCTGAGTGATCCAGGGAGCTATAACAAGCCACTACAGAAAAGGAAATTGACTGCAAGAAGTCTCAAGAAAGCTGCAAGAATGAAAGAACCAAACATTTCAGGGTTGATGCATGAGGGTTCAAGAAGCCCAAGGCATCTTGGAGGTCATTTCTCTCCACCCTTCCTATGATTTCTCTCCTCACATGGAATATTAGAGGGTTGAACTAACCCTCTAAACAATCAGAAATTAAAAAATTAATTTCTGAGAAAAAATTGGATGTAGTCTCCATATTGGAGACTAAAGTGGCACTTTCAAATGTGGCTGCAATTCACAAGAAAATTGCTCCACAATGGTCTTTTACACATAATTATCCTTTCTCTGATCTGGGGAGAATTTGAATAATTTGGAACCCCAACATTCTTAACTTATCTGTTATCCATTGCAGCAGACAAGCAATTCATTGCTCCATATCAGTAATTGGTCTGAATCTATCTTTTTTTATATCATTCATCTATGCATCCAATTGCCATTGAAAGACAGGTTCTATGGGATGATATCACCCACTGCTCAACAATTTTTGCTGCTAGCCCTTGGTTGTTAATGGGGGATTTTAATGTCATTCCCAATATAGGAGAGAAGCATGGTGGATCTATGAAATGGAGCACTGCAATGTCTGATTTCAAGGACTGCCTCCAAAATGCTGAATTGGAGGACCTCAAGTTCTGTGGGATTCTATACTCTTGGTCAAACAAGAGTTTGGGAGATGCATGTATAGCTAAGAAGCTTGCCAGGGCTCTGGTCAATCAAAAATGGACATCCTCCTTTCCAATTTCAGAATGCAATTTCCTCACCCCAGGTATTTCTGACCACAGCCCTATTTTGGTTACACTTGACATTAACAAACCACAAAGGCGTACCCCCTTCAGGTTCTTTAATGCTTGGTCATCACACAAGCTTTTCTTATCTTCAGTACAAGGGGTTTGGAGCACACACATTAAAGGAACAACTATGTTCCAAGTTGTTCAAAAGCTCAAACAATTAAAAACTGTCCTAAGAACTACATGTAGGAAAGAATTTTCAGAGTTGGACTCCAAAATTCATGCAATTCAGCTTGAGTTACAGTCCTGTCAAATGGATCTTGATCTTTATCCTAGTGATTCTTCACTCAGAGAGCCGGAATGAGCCCTTACTAGAGAATTCTTGAGGCTGGGAAACATCCAAGAAGATATTTTGAGGCAAAAATCTAGGATGGCCTGGCTTAAATTGGGGGATTGCAACTCAACTTACTTACATAGATCTCTCAGTTCAAGGAATAATAAGAAAAAGATTATTTCCTTAACTCTTGATGATGGATAGATGATTCATGGTATGGAGGATATTAAAATTCAAGTGGTTAATCATTTCCAATCTCTGCTTGGTTATTCTGCCCCTCCCACTCACCACATCTCTGACTTAGCTCCATTTATCTCCAAGGCTGTCCCCACCAATATGCACTTTTTCCTTGAGGATCCACCATCCAATTTGGAGATTCAAAGCTGTATATTGAAGCTTAATAAGGATAGAGCTCCGGGTCCAGATGGCTATAATGCCTTATTTTTACAAAAGTGTTGGAATATTGTGGGAAGGACTATTATCAAAGCAATCTCAGAATTCTTCAGGAATGGAAAGCTCCTAGCAGAGGTCAACAATACATACATTGCCTTGGTACCAAAATGCCAGAATCCAGCATCTCTTCATGACTATAGGCCTATCTCATGTGTCAACACCATCTACAAGTGTATCTCAAAACTTCTTGCAACTAGGCTTCAATCCACACTACCACTCCTCATTGATCAAGCCCAATCTGCCTTTGTGCATGGCAGAAAGATTACAGACCCTATACTACTAGCACATGAGTTGCTAAGAGGGTATCACAAGCATGGCACTCCTGTAAGATGTGCAATCAAGGTGGACCTCAAGAAGGCCTTTGATTCAATGAAGTGGGACTTCATTATTAGTTGTCTCTCATTGCATAACTTCCCTCCCAAGTTTATTTCATTGATTAATGCTTGCATCTCATCTCCATCTTTCACCATTGCCTTGAATGGTGAATTCCAAGGGTATTTCAAAGGGAAGAGGGGCCTAAGACAAGGTGATCCCATCTCCCCATTCCAGTTTGTCTTAGTTATGGATGCTTTTTCTTCAATTATCACCAACTATGTGAATAGAGTTTCATCCTTCAAGTACCACTGGAGGTGCAGAGAGCAAAAAATCACTCACCTATTGTAGGTGCAAAATTTCGCTCAACCAATAATGACTGAGAAAAATAAAACAACTCACTCAAAAACAATAAAAATAAATAAGAACAATGTATAGAGAAGTGTGGAATTGCTTGATCCTTTATTGGAGGTCTTAGCCTCTATTTATATACAAAAGATTGCAAAATTATGGTAGGACTCGCGTTGCTTGCCCTCCAATTCTTTCTATATAACCATTCTTTTCTAATAGAGTTCTTTCCATTGTTGAATTTTCCATACATAGAACTTGCCTTGTACAGAACTTCCTATCCGAATTTTCCTTCTACAGTAAATTCTTCAAATGGTAGGATTTGTGCATTCTTGGGCTGAATATATTTTGATCCGGCTGGGTTTGGGTAACAGGCCGGATGTTAAATACTCATATCTGGGCTGACGACAAGCTGGGCTGATGGCTTCTTGATTCGGCCTTGATGGAATGGTCTTGGGCTGTAAATACCCTCAACTTGGGCTTGAGCATGATGGGCCTTATATGTCCTTGGCCTGTAGATATGGGTAGTGGTGACGTGTGCGCTTTTTATTAGAGGGAGTTTTTTTCCCTCCACACTTTGCCCCAAATTCCATTTTTAATTGAGTGACGGCTCCTATTAAAGAGGGAATTGAAACCGATTTTTACTTTGCTTCAGAAACGGTTCGTGGCCTTTCGTTATTACTCCGTCACACAAGATTTTGCAAGAGTTACATTTGCCCTTGCTGCACTTCTGCGTCCTTCATTTCATCGCTTCCTTCGCTTTGTCAGGTTAGTCTCGCATCTTTCTCTTCAATCTTTCATTATAAGTACTTCATCTACTCCCGAACGTGTAGACCTTGGGGATTCTGAATCCACACCTTCATCTTCCCCCATTCGCATTAGGGCTCCCCCTCCTAGGGTTTCTACAGATCGCCCTTCGTTGAATTCATCAGGTACTTCCCCTCTTCCAACCGAAACATCCACCTCAGGCTCTGATTACGTTCTTACCCATGAGGAGAAGAAAGCAATCATCTCTATTCGCCGCATCAAATTCTCTATTGCTTCGGTAATGGAAGAATTTGATGTTCCTGAAGGAGTAGACATTACAGAATATCCCGAGGGTGCCGATTTCACCTCCGGCGAGGGAATTGAGGAGGATGAGTTGCTTCTTTCGGTAGGGCACCTTAACGCCCTCTGATTCCCTCTTCATCCCTTCTATCATTTAGTTTTCAATAAGCTAGGTCTTGCCCCCCTTCAAGTAAATCCCAATTTCTTTCGCATCCTTTCGGCGTTGTTGGTGCGCCGGAAATTAGAGGCTCTGGATTTGACCCTTGCCGACCTTCTGCTTACTTACAATATATCTAAGCATGGGACCGAGCCTGGTCGCTTCTTTTTTACCTCTCCCCTTCATCAAAGGATATGCACGAACCTTCCTTCATCTGAAAAGAAATGGAAAGAAATGATGGTTGTAGTTAAAGGAAAATGGTTCGTGTCCCAATCAATTGCGCTTCCCATTCCGCGCAAATTCGGGAAATTAGGTATAGAATATTTAACCTCCCTTCATACCAAGTGTTCTGGCTGTTTTCCTTGCCAAGTCTTAATATTTCGCCGTATTTATGAATTTCTTGGTGTTTTTTCAGCTACATTCCCAGCCTTTGCAGCAAGGAACAGACTTTCTTTTCTTGAGGAATGAGTCTAGAGTGACCCCTTGCCTATCGAGGACCTGCTAACTTCCTCCAACCTCAAGGACATTGCTTCCAGTGCCGTTGCTGCAGACCTCATGGATCTGGCTTTACCATCCTTTGACAGTTTCCCTATGACCGAGGAGGAGATACGGCTGGCTGAGGCTTTAAAAAAGAAAGCCGGAGATGCCCAACCCTTGGTCGTCATTGGATCAACTGAGGATGAGGTGGAGGTTGAGGAACCACCATTGAAGAAATCTCGCCTCAACCCCTCTTCCTCTGGCAAGGGCAAAGTCCCCTCTAAAAGCAGAGGGAAAAAAGCTGGAGAGGCCGAACCTGAAGATGAAGTCAGGGCCTTTGTTCTTGCTGAGACTGGGGCTCCTTGGACTCCTTCCTTCACCAGGGCTGACAGGTCAGTCCTACACTCAGGGGATTCTGTGGTTACAGACCCTTCAGCTGCACTGGCAGTGGCTCGAGGAATGTGGCTCCCAAAGGACGAGGAAGCCATCAGCCAAATGGGGTTGGAGCAACTACTCCCCTCTGCCCCAGTCCGGGCCATAGAGGTTCATATTGCACCTTCAGAATTATGTTACTCTTGCTTGCTTGTGTTTCTATTTATGCTTATATTTGCTTCCCTGTTAAACAGAGTCTATACCACACCATGGCCCTCTGCGCCACTGCTGAAGCTCAATCCCTCTCCATCAAGAAGTTGGAAAAGGATCTTGACAATGCAGAGAAGAGAGCCACTACTGCCTCTACCAATCTGAAGATAGCTTCTGAAGCCAAGGATGCGTATAAGAGGCAGTTGTCAGCCTCTAAGGCTAAGGTGGATTCTCTTCAGGCCGAGGTTCAACGCCTGACCGAGGCTCTTACTACTTGCTTCAAGGCGGGGAAGCAAATGCAGGGGCGCTACTCTTATCTGGCGCACCTGGCTAGTGCTAAGGCGTTCCGGTCTGGCTATAATCAGGGCTCAGGCCCTAAGACGATGGATCCGGACGCCTTTGACAAGCAGGTGGGGGTGCACTTCCCATACGATGAAGGGCCAGAGGTTTTGGAAGCTGAAATTCGCTTTGCCGAGATGGTGAAGGCACACCTGAAGGGTACTCCTAGCTCCCCTGCTCCTGCGGCTACCTCAAGTCCTAATGTAGTGGATGCTTTTGAATCTACTCCCTTCAATCCGAAGAGGAAGTAGAACTATGTATTTTATTTTTATGAACAGCCTGTTTTGGGATAATGAATATAACTTTTCGTTTTAGGCTTGCCTGACTTGTTTTTGCTGTATGCTCTTGATATATTTCTCTGACTGGTAATGTGTTTAAACACTAAACATTGTCTTTATACTTTGGATTTATGCTATCCGTGAAAATGCAAGGATTGTGGGAAGAAGGAGATCCTTTTAACAGTTTAGTTGATATCGCAGGATGAGTCGTATGGACAATGATTTAACTGTTAAATGAACCCTCCTCGCCTTCTACTTGCCTTCAGTAGATGTATACATACTCTTTCCTTCTCATGTGTTCCTGATGTGGGGTGGAATATGATGAACTTATGACATATCCGCATACACAAGGTATTAAACACTTGGAGTCCGGAGGAAAGAGTTCTGATATGAGTATCAGAGGTCTAAAGCGAATTACTCCTGGGCACTGAGTGTGGAGGAATATTGCTGAATAGGACACTTAGGGTCCGAAGCTGTCTCGGATACTCAGGATCCGAGGCGAATTATTCCTCGGCACTGAGTGTGGAGGACTAGTGCTGAATAGGACAATTAGGGTCTGAAGCTGTCTCGGATACTCAGGATCCGAGGCGAGGAGTATTGCTGAATAGGACACTTAGGGTCCGAAGCTGCCTCGGATACTCAGGATCCGAGGCGAATTATACATTCCCTGGCGTGGAGCCGGAGGGGGGGTTTTGCCGAGCCGAACACTTAGGGTCCGAGGCGAATGACTTACTCTCCGGCGCTGAGCCTGAAGGGAGGTTTAAATGAATCACTCCCCGGCGCTGAGCCAGAGGGGAGGTTTTGCCGAGCCGGACACTTAGGGTCCGAGGCGAGATTTTTGCCGAGCCGAACACTTAGGGTCCGAGGCGAATGACTTACACTCCGGCGCTGAGCCTGAGGGGAGGTTTAAATGAATCACTCCCCGGCGCTGAGCCAGAGGGGAGGTTTTGCCGAGCCGGACACTTAGGGGCCGAGGCGAGAGAACTACTCCCCGGCGCTGAGCCTGAGGGGAGGTTGTGCCGAACCGGACACTAAGGTCCGAGGCGAGATTTTCGCCGAGCCGAACACTTAGGGTCCGAGGCGAATGACTTACTCTCCGGCGCTGAGCCTGAGGGGAGGTTTAAATGAATCACTCCCCAGCGCTGAGCCAGAGGGGAGGTTTTGCCGAGCCGGACACTTAGGGTCCGAGGTAAGATTTTCGCCGAGCCGAACACTTAGGGTCCGAGGCGAATGACTTACCCTCCGGCGCTGAGCCTGAGGGGAGGTTTAAATGAATCACTCCCCGGCGCTAAGCCAGAGGGGAGGTTTTGCCGAGCCGGACACTTAGGGGCCGAGGCAAGAGAACTACTCCCCGGCGCTGAGCCTGAGGGGAGGTTGTGCCGAACCGGACACTTAAGGTCCGAGGCGAATAAATTACTCCCCGGCACTGAGCCTGAGGGGAGGTTTATCTCATATTTTTCCGCAAATCACTTATTATGAGGCCGAAGACTCAAAAATGATAGGAGGCCAAGAAAGCGAGTAACAGTGGCTGTGAAGTTCTCCATTTGTTGACTTTAGAGACCTGCCTCCACTGACACTCCCTTCTTGGCAGCCAAATGTTGTAGACCACGCATATATGAACCGCATTTCTTTTCTATTTCTATCCGATGTGGGACATAGACTAAATGTTGTCAAAAAAGTCGGTGTAAGGAATGCCTCTGGTATTGAGCCTGACAGCCTTAAATACCAGTGGGCCCTCCTTACACCGTAATTAACTATTTGAATATTCCCATATATAACAAAATGTGGCACATACTGTTTTGTCGATGTGGGATATAAAGATTTAAGCATAGGCCATAACTCATGTTTTGTTGCTTTGTGTTTTTTTTGTTTTTGGTCAAAAAATCAGACGAATTTTTGTTTTGTGTCAAAAAATCGGTCAAAAAATCAGACGAATTTTTGTGTCAAAAAATCAAACGAATGCCATTCATAGTATGGTCCCCCATTTTTATAAAAAGAAACAAAAATAGAGGAAAGTGATACTGAATATAGAAGCAAAATAAAGAAAAGCTTGGCTGACTGTGGACATATTCAGCCTTATTTGTGAAGAACTTGTAGCAAAATTGACAAACTTAACTAATGGAAATACCTTTTCAGGTGTATTGCGTTCCAAGGACGCGCAATGGGACGTCCGTCAGCTTCGGCCAAACGATATGCTCCTTTCCCCACTACTTCGGTAACTCTGTAGGGTCCGGTCCAATTAGGTTCCAATTTCTTTACATGAGCTGTCTCCTGCTTCAAAACCCAATCGCCTACCACAAAACTCCTGAACCTGACGCGTTTGTTATAACTGTTACACACCTGTTGTTGGTATGCCGCGAGTCGAATTGTTGCTGCATCTCTCCTTTCGTCCACCAAATCAAGGCTATGTTCGAGTTGTTGCTCATTGTTCCCCTCCAGTACCAAGGATGTCCGAAGGGTTGGGATTATGGACTCAGTGGGAATGACAGCTTCGGATCCATATGCCATAGCGAATGGGCTTTCTCCCGTGGGTCGTCTTGGAGTGGTTCGATAGGCCCAAAGCACTTGAGGGAGATTCTCGCACCACTTTGTCTTTAATTTCTCCACTTTTTTCTTTAAGCACCCGAATATCGTGCGATTAGTTATTTCAGCTTGCCCATTGCCTTGTGGATGACTAACTGCAGCTAACTTTTGCAAGATTCCATGTTCGCTAAAGAATTTCCTTGTACTTCTGTTATCGAGGTTCTTACCATTGTCCATTACGATGACTTTTGGTACCCCAAACCGGCAAATAATGTTGCTCCAAATGAAATGATTTACTTCTTCGTGGGTGATGCTAGAGAAGGCTTCAGCTTCCACCCACTTGGTGAAGTAATCCGTAGCCAGAAGCACATGCTCCTTTTTTTCCATGGTTTTGGGTAATGGTCCTACTATATCAATCCCCCATTGGGCGAACGGCCATGGATTAGCCATGGCGTGCAAACCTTCGGCAGGTTGGTGCTTTATTGGACCATGGCGCTGACACTTATCACATCGTCTTGTGTATTCCTCGGCATTCCAAGCCAAGTATGGCCAGAAATAACCTTGGGTTAGAATTTTGTGTGCAATGGATCTTCCTCCGGAGTGGTTTCCACAATCTCCTTCATGAACTTGTTTTAGAATTGTGAGAGCCTCAGTAGGAGTTAAACACTTGAGATAGGGACCGGAGAATGACCTTCGGTACAACTGGTTATTGATGATTGCGTACTTAGCCGCGGTAAGCCTAAGCTTCCTTGCCTCAGCTTTCTGATTCGGGAGAACCCTTTCCTTGAGGTAGGCCTCGATTGGATCAATCCAGCAGGGCTCACGTGGTACTTCCGGGATCACCATCACCTCTTGCCGGGGATTAGTGCTGGGTTCTTCGAGAACATCGATTGGAACAAGCCGAATCAACTCTTCATCTGAAGATGATGCGGCTGCGGCCAATCGATCCGCTTCGGCATTTTCATCTCGTGGTACCTGATGGAACTCGATTTGATCGAACTCCTGGATAGCACTCTCTACAGCATTTTTGTACGACTTCATACGTTCCTCCTTGGGAGAATATTGCCCTGTCACTTGATTGATCACAAGCTGTGAGTCACTAAAAACTTTTAAACATCGTACCTGCAGCTGTTTAGCTAGCCGAAGTCCGGCAAGCATCGCCTCGTACTCGGCCTCGTTATTGGTAGATGGGAAATCTAGCAAAATTGACTGCTGCAGCTTGGTACCCTCGGGTGTTATGATTTCAATACTGGCCCCTGCTCTTTTCCGGTTGGAAGAACCATCAACCCGTAACTCCCAGTATGGCTCTTGAAGTGTCGGTTCCTCAGGTTGATCTTCGTACTCTAGTAGGAAATCCGCTACTGACTGCCCCTTGTGAGATACCTTCGGTGCATAGGTGATGTCAAAAGAGCTAAGTTCAATAGCCCATTTTGTAATTCGACCAAACAGGTCTGGTTTAGCTAGGATAGCCCGTATAGGGTGATTTGTAAGTACCACTATGCTGTGAGACTCGAAGTAATGTCGAAGTTTCCTCTTGGCATAAATTAACGCCAGGATTACCTTTTCTGTCTTGCTGTACCGTGTCTCGGCATCCGTCATCGTTTTGCTTGTGTAAAAGATTGGGTGCTGAACCTTGTCTTCTTCTTTGATCAACACTGCACTTGTTGCTACAGCCGATACTGCCAGGTACAGGATGAGAGTGTCTCCGGGCGTTGGAGCAGAAAGGATTGGGGGTTTTGTCATGTAGCTTTTCAATTGATTAAGAGCTTCCTGCTGCTGAGGTCCCCACATATCTTTGTTTTTGGATCGAATAGCATCAAAGAAAGGTTTATATTTATCAGATAATCGGGATATGAACCGGCTGAGAGCAGCAATTCGGCCGGTTAGAACTTGCACTTCCCTGCGGGTTGTCGGCTCCTGGTTCTGTATGAGTGCCTTTGCCTGAACTGGGCTTACTTCTATTCCTCTTTTATTTACGACGTGCCCAAGGAACTGTCCTGACGAAACGGCGAAGGAGCACTTGGTGGGGTTCAACTTCATATTGTATCTCTTGAGAGTATCAAAGACCTCCTGGAGGTGCTTCGGGTGGTCCTCTTTCCGTATACTTTTAACCACCATATCATCGATATAGGCTTCAACTGTATCGCCCAGCAGATTACTGAAGATTTTATTGACAAGTCGCTGGTAGGTGGCTCCGGCATTCTTTAGACCGAAGGGCATCACTCTGTAGCAGTAAGTGCTCGTTTCTGTAATGAAAGCAGTTTTCTCCTCATCTTCAGGATTCATGGGAATCTGATTATAGCCGGAGTATGCGTCGAGGAATGTGAGCCTTTCATAACCCGTCGTAGCATCCACCATTTGATCAATCTTGGGCAGAGGAAAGCTATCTTTTGGGCAAGCTTTGTTAAGGTTGGTATAATCTACGCATACCCTCTATTTCCCATTCTTCTTTTGAACGACTACTACATTTGAGAGCCATTGTGGGTATTGCACCTCTCGAATGAATCCTGCTTGTAACAGTTTATTTACCTCCTCGGCTATTATGCGATTCCGTTCAGGTGCGAACCGTCGGTGCCTCTGCTTGACTGGCTTGAACTCTGGGTTAACCCTCAGACTATGGCATGAGACTGCAGGATCGATCCCCACCATGTCCGAGTGATCCCAGGCAAAGACATCCGAATTGCACCGAATGACCCTGATCAATGCTTCTTTATCTTCGGCTGTGCAAGATGAGCCAATGTAGGTGAGCTTCTGGGGGTCTCCGAGGACTACCTCTATAGCTTCGAGGGACTCCTCGGTAGGTGCTTCAGCTTCGGCTTCCTCCTCTGACTTAAGATACTTGGGCAGAGGATATTGTAACTGCTATTTGATCGTGTCTTTGGGATTCGCCTCTGACTGAGGTGACTTCGACGCTCTCTTTGCTTCATGTAGCGTTAGCATGTAACATTCTTTTGCAGCAACCTGGTCTCCCCAGAGGTCGATGACCTCTCTGCCATCCGGGGATAAACACCTCATTACTTGGTGAAGTGTAGAGGGGACTCCGTTCATACGATGGATCCAACCTCTCCCCATAATGAGGTTATAAGATGGATGAATTTCTGTTACGACGAAGTTTTCCTTCAGAGTCCTCTTTGCTGTAGTAACGGATAGATCGATCACCCCAAGCGGATTCACCTTAGTACCATCAAATCCCATTAGGGGGCCGGAAGTTGGCCTAATGGATGATAGTGAAATCCCCAACTGATCAAAAGCTGTTTTTGTAATGATGTTGGCGCTGGACTCTATCAGCACTCTCCTGATCATGTAATTCGCTACCAGGAGGCTGATGACCAAGGGGTCCTCATGTGGGCGCTGGACTCTAGAAAGATCGTTGTTACCGAATCCAATGTTGATGCTGCCTGGTGCAACCGTGTTTACCGAAGACAACCTTCGTAACTTATGAGCCTCTCGCAGCCTGGATCTGTACAACTCTTCAGACTCTTCATCATCCTCCGACCTTCCGTGAATAGCATGGATAACCTTTACCTGACTGCCCTCTACCCGTCGAGGGTTAACCTCCCGAGGTTTTACGTGCTCCTTCGTGGCGAGATACTCCATCAATTCTCCTCTCGCTATCATGCTTTCTACCTGTCGCTGTAGGGACCTGCAGTCATTGGTGGTATGCCCATAATCTCTATGGTAGGCACAATGCTTGTTTTTGTCCCTCTGCTCCAAGGGTTGTTTCATGGGCTGAGGAGTCGCGAACCTCGTCTTATTCTCTTGGAATAGGCGCGCCAAGGTAGTACGAAGAGGGGTAAGCCTGTCCTCTGTCCTTCGCCTTTTCTCAGATGCTTGGGTGGCTTGTGTGGCGGTATGAGGAACCTTCTGCATCCTTGTGCTCGCAGCTTTCTCTCGAGACTTGTTTTCCACTGTGACGAGGGTAGCGTGCTGCGCACGGTGAGCTACGTTTTCCTCCAACCGAATGTAGATTTGTGCCCTAGCGTTCAAAGTCTGCATATCCGGGGGGAATATTTGACCAAGGATGTGTGAAACTTGGTTCCCTGGATCATTGCCAACTTAAATGTTTCGATTGCCGTGGCAGGATGGCAATCTGCTATCTCCGAGGCCTCCATGTTAAATCTGGATAAAAAATCTTGCAGAGTTTCTTCCTTCCTTTGCCTTATTGTAAAAAGGCTGGCTATACTTTTCTTCTGCTTCTTATTTCCGCAATACTGGGCTAAGAACATAGTGCACAAGGTCTCATAGTCAGGGATAGACTTGTGTGGCCTATTCCTGAACCATTCTAACGCTGCTCCGGTTAAACTGGTAGGAAAAACCTTACACATCCACGGATCGTTATGATCGTCCAATGCCATCTTTTGCGCATAATGATCAAGATGCCGAGAAGGGTCGCCTGCCCCATCGAACTGGGTGAAGGATGGCATAGTGAACTTCTTCGGCCTCTCCACAAGGTACACCTCGTCAGTAAAGGGGGTCTTGACCAAGGAGTTCTTGTGCTCTCTAGCCATCTCGGCTGGTGTCTGGACTCTGAAGAGCTTTTTTTCATCGAATGCATCTTGTACACGTGCGCCATCTGGAACGCCATTGGACCATACCGTAAGCCTATGGCTGGACTCGGCCTGTTCGTCCTGTGTGCGATGCGGGAGATTATCCGAAGCAACCGCCTCGGACCTCGTCCCTTGCTTTTGCTACGCCTCACTAGGTCGAGCCCCGTTGGGTGGTGTCTCGTTGGCTGGAGGCTCGTGAACCGAAGGTAAATTCGGGGTGGGAGGTGGTGCCGCAGCATCGCCTGGTGGTGGTTGTGGCGTTAGCCTGGCCATGGCCGTGTGCAGCGTATGAGTCTGCTGCTGAAGCGCAGCTATCTGGGCGACACTCGTATCGTTTGCTTGCCGGAGTGTCTCAAATTGGTGCAAGAACTCTTCTCGCATCTTTTGCATCAGTTCTATCTGTTGATTCATTGCTGAATCTCCGTTTGACATTCCAGACACGACTAAAGGATTTAATTTGAAGAACAAGTGGGAGTATATTTGTATACGTTTCCCACAGACGGCACCAAAGTGTAGGTGCAAAATTTCGCTCAACCAATAATGACTGAGAAAAATAAAACAACTCACTCAAAAACAATAAAAATAAATAAGAACAATGTATAGAGAAGTGTGGAATTGCTTGATCCTTTATTGGAGGTCTTAGCCTCTATTTATATATAAAAGATTGCAAAATTATGGTAGGACTCGCATTGCTTGCCCTCCAATTCTTTCTATATAACCATTCTTTTCTAATTGAGTTCTTTCCATTGTTGAATTTTCCATACATAGAACTTGCCTTGTACAGAACTTCCTATCCGAATTTTCCTTCTACAGTAAATTCTTCAAATGGTAGGATTTGTGCATTCTTGGGCTGAATATATTTTGATCCGGCTGGGCTTGGGTAACAGGCCGGATGTTAAATACTCATATCTGGGCTGACGACAAGCTGGGCTGATGGCTTCTTGATTCGGCCTTGATGGAATGGTCTTGGGCTGTAAATACCCTCAACTTGGGCTTGAGCATGATGGGCCTTATATGTCCTTGGCCTGCAGATATGGGTAGTGGTGACGTGTGCGCTTTTTATTGGAGGGAGTTTTTTTCCCTCCACACCTATCTTATGCTGATGACCTACTTCTGTTTTGCCATGGAGATATTTGTTCAGTTTCAGTCCTTAAGTCTGCACTTGATCTCTTCTGTTCAATGTCTGGACTTAACATCAACCTATCTAAAAGTGCAGTGTATTTCTCAGGAGTTAATGATCACACTCAATATGAGATCTCTTCTCTACTTGGCATACAAGCAGCAACTCTCCCAGTGAAATATCTTGGAGTGCCCCTCATCTCTACTAATCTCAAAGCTCAGCATTGCAGCTTACTGGTAAGCAGGATTACCCACAGAGTTATTAACTGGACATCAAGGTCTCTATCTTATGCAGGTAGACTGCAATTAATTAAGTCTGTGCTTGTCTCTACCCAAAATTACTAGTGCAACATCTTCATCCTTCCTAAGGGGGTAATTGATGAGTTAAATAAAATTTCAGAAGATTTCTCTGGTCTGGACCAGAATTAAAGACTTCAGGTTCGAAGGTTGCTTGGCGCAATGTATGTTCTCCTAAACCTGCAGGGGGGTTGGGGATCCCTAATTTGGAAATAGCTAACAAGGCTGGTATTCTGAGATTCATCTGGGATCTACAAACAGACAACTCCAACAGATTATGGGTTAATTGGTGCCATTCCCACCTCCTCAAAGCTAGGAACATGTGGACTCTTAACTTCCCTCAGCCATGTTCCTGGAGTTGGAGAAAAATGCTGCAATTAAGACATACTGCAAAGGGTCTCATCAAGCATTCTATTGGCAATGGGGTTGACACTACTTTCTGGTGGGATAACTGGGCTCCAGGGGGTCCTCTATCCTTAAGGTTCCCAAGGTCACTAATGTCTGACGGAGGTTTACATGAAGATATAACTGTGGACAACTTCATTACTAACAACAACTGGGCCTTTCCCATCTTCCTCACTAATGTTATCCCAGAATTGGCTAACCTTCCTGCACCTGATTCATCTACAAGGGACACCAAAATGTGGATTGCTTCTCCTACAGGACAGTACTCATTCAGCCACACAATTTCTCATTTGGTAAGGGACCTCCCAAATGTTCCATGGTACAACCTTGTTTGGCAATCCCCAACTATTCCTAGAATGAAGTTCATCCTTTGGTTGACAGTCCAATCCAAATTGCCAACACTTGATAGTAAATCTATGTCGAGCCACACCAATATTTGCCCTCTATGTTGCTTGTCCACTGAATCCCATGACCACATTTTCTTAAACTGCCCCTTTACCTCTCCTTTGTGGCTTTTTATCAAATACAGGTGCAGCATCCACACAGCTATTAGGAGCTGGGGATCTCTTGTTCAATGGGCAAGTATTCAATGGAAAGCTAATACCTCAGTCAATCTGCTCAGGAAATTGGGGTTTTCAGCTTTAGTATATCATACATGGGAGGAGAGAAACGCCAGAATCTTCAAAAGGAAGGTGTCCTCTCAAAGGATTGTATGCTCGAAGATCTGTTCTACCATTTCTTCAATTCTGAAATTGGGATGCCTCCGGGACTGCTCCTCTTCCAGATCTATTCTAATGGATTGGAACCTCTCTCCGTCTTGCTGCAGACCCCCTCCTCGTCCGCCGGACTAACTCGCGGCGGTTTGCCGCTGCTGCAATGTCACAGGATTGTTTTTTAGCCTTTCTCAATGGCTATTGCAGTTACTGGTAGTTACTTCATGGCTTGTAATGTTCCCTTGTTGGGCTTGTTCTCAGCCTTGTAATGTTTCCTTGTTGGGCTTGTTCCTAGCCTTGTCTCAAGCTTTGGCTTGCCTTCTTCATCTTTGGGCCTAAAGGCCTTTTGTAAATTCTATTATCCAATGAAAATTGCTTTAATTTTCGAGAAAAAAAAAAAAAAAGAAAAAGAAAAAGAGAGAGTAATGTTATTAATATAAATAGCTCTTTAAAAAATGTATTCAATAATTCATTTAATTTATTACATATATTAAATGTTAAAAAAAAAATTGTCTCAATTCAAGCGATTAAATATGAAGAGTTCATGTGTGAAGGAGGGAACTCTCTTGATTACATTAATTAATATATATATATATATATATATTACAACTTAATGTATTGATTTATCAATCTGCCAGGAGATGCAATTACCAAACTATATATATATATATATGGCAGAGAGATGCCATGAAGAAACAGAGCTTAAAACAGGGCAAGAGAAAAACCTTTCAACAAATTTTATTGCAAGAAAACAAAAATTTACATTTCGGTGAGCACGATATGATGTGTATGTGGATTGTACCTGGAGACTTACAAAATCTATAGAAATAGAAGGGGAAGGAGCGAGCCCGAGATACATTACCTGTGATAGAAGGTAAGAGAGCCTTAATGAGAGAAGTGACATTCAATTAAAGCTCTTTGTGCTTCTTAAAATATTCAATCAATTTTTAAAAAATATATAAATAAATTCAAGTTAATTTTTGCATGAAATTTTACCCCAGATTTGGACAAAACTAGAAAAACTATGTCACTAAATTTTTTGGTTCGTTGCTGGTATATGATTTCCGTAGCAATCACGAAGCTTAAAATGTTATAAATTTCCAAAAAAAATTCCTCAATGTAAATATCTTTTATCCTTTACTAAATATTATAGACCTAAAATTTTATGCTACTAATTTTCAGATAAAAAATATAGTAAGAAAATAGTTTTTGCATATCAAGGTTTCAAGGTGGTTCCAATAATTAAAATTTCACAATTAGGTTGACTTTAGTGTTGGGATTCTCTAGTATTCTAAAGAAACTTCTAGAGCTAGTTTAATATTAAACTTTGAATTTAGAGTTTTAAAATTTTAAGATTACTTCTTAAAGGTAAATTACATTGACTTCTTCTGAGATTAAAATAAATTATATTCAGGTATAATGTTTGGTATTTATTACTTTTAACCCTCATTGAGATTGGGTGTTTGTACTCAATAACATCTCGTGCCGTTAATGAAAATTTAAAAAATGACTAAATTGTCCTTCTCATATGTTAAAAGACCTCAATAATCTTATATTTTGATATGAAATGATCAATAAGCCATCAAATGTTATTGAAATGTAAATTGTAAATTTTCATACCAAATTTTATGTTATTATAATTTACAAAAACTTTTTTTTTTTGATAATGTCATTTTGTTAGGTTTATGATTTGATTAGGTTTTTTTTCAAAAAAAAAAATTTTAAGAGGTAAAAAAAATATAGTGTTTACAAGAACGAAAAAAAAAAAAAGAAAAAGGTATTATGGTATTTTTGTTTGACAGATATTTTTTATTTAATTAAATAAGAGTATAAAAAACATTTATGGGAAGGTCAAATAATAAAAGTCAAACACTGCTTATAAATTGTTCAATCCTCAAGGTCAGTGTGATTTATCCATTTTTGTTATATATATATATATATATATATATATATATATATATAACAAACTGTGTCTTCACGCTTACAATCTAAAAACTTTTAGTATTGAGTTTGAAGGGTTTAAAAATAAAAAAAAAAATTAATCAATAGTAGAGCACGCGTTAACGCATTGGACTCGGTCCGGTAGACTGAAATGTAATGTGGACGGAGTTGTAATGTCAATACCAAAACTTTCCCTACCTAACGTCCCTCACCTGAAAAAAATAAATAAATAAAATCTTTTTATATATACATTATATATAATGTATTACCTGGGATGTGTGGGGTCCACATGCCGCGTCCCATGAGGTGGCAATATGAGCCTAAGCTGCTTACGTCCGTATGGTGACGCACCACCGTAAACCCATCGCCACCTCCTTCTGCTACTTCTATATATTTTTTCTTTTCTTTTCTTTTTTCTTTTTTTTTTTTTTTGGGAAAAAAAAGACCCTCCTTTATGATTTGTTAAACAAAAAATATAATTCATAATTAAGTTAATTTCAAACAAATCAGTAAAAAAATTTAGAAAGGAATAAATGAAAAGAGAAAAATGATACATCTTCAATTCGTTTGAAGATATTGGATAGAAATTATGTGAATAAAAGCATGATTCTACCATCTTACATCACCTTAACATCATCACATAACTCTAAATATTATCCGAGAAACATTAATTATTTTTACTAGTTAATTGTTGTTGGAAGAATTGGACTAATCAAAACTCAAGTCAATTCATTCAATCACCATCCAATATATATAACATGCTTGATATATAAAACCCACCTCATCAATAACGCCACAAAAAAAAAAAAAAAAAAAAAAAAAAAAAAAAAAAAACCTTTAAACATTTCCTCTATTTATACCCTACCATATCACCTCCATTAACTATTTTTACTAGTTAATTGTTCTTGGAAGAATTGGACTAATCAAAACTCAAGTCAATTCATTCAATCACCATCCAATGTATATAACATGCTTGATATATAAAACCCACCTCATCAATAACGCCACAAAAAAAAAAAAAAAAAAAAAAAAATCCTTTAAACATTTCCTCTATTTATACCCTACCATATCACCTCCACAAATGCATGCCCTTCCCAACCAAAACCTCTTGCCCTTCAACACATAAATTCTACAGACCTTGATATCATGGCAACTGAGCAAACACAACCCAAATGGGCAGAACTACTAGGAAGCAATGAATGGAAAGGTCTGCTCGACCCTCTTGACCTCAGCCTCAGGAAACTCATCCTGAGCTGTGGTGACATGACCCAAGCCACTTATGATGCCTTCATCAGAGATCCAAATTCCAAATACTGAGGCTACGGCCGCTACGGCCGCGACTCATTCTTCCACAAAGTGTTCCTACCTTGTGCATCAGATTACCAAATCATCTCCTTCCTCTATGCCACTGCAAGCATTGATGATGACTTCTTTGACGCCTTCATCATCAGACCTGAGAGCCCCGCCGTCCCACTCCAACGCCAGTCCAATTGGATCGGATACGTTGCTGTCACCACCGACGAAGTCAGCAAGTCCAACGGCAGGCGTGACATTTATGTGGCATGGCGTGGAACCGTCCAACCAATTGAACTACAAGGGGATTTACACACTAAGCTCGTGCCTGCCACACCATTAATGTCCGGCTCTGGAGGAAATGACAATTATGATAGTGGTGAGGATGATATCGCCAAGGTCATGGAGGGTTGGCTCACAATTTACACCTCCAGCAACCCAGATTCTCCATTTCCAAAAACCAGCGCTCAAACTCAAGTTCTATCAACCATCACAAAATTGATGGAATTGTACAAGCACGAAAACATAAGCTTGATATTCACGGGACATAGCCTAGGTGGGGTACTTGCAGCTCTAAGCGCTTTCAATGTGGTGGAAACTGGTGTAGTTGCAGATCATGTCCGGGTCGGGGCTTTCGTGTTCGGTTGCCCAAAGTTAGGCAACAAAGTGTTCATTGACAAGCTTAAGGCTCTGCAAAACCTGCGAATCTTACATGTGAGGAATGTTTTAGACCTTGTACCAAACTTCCCGCTCACAGTGCCTGGGTATGAACCATACGCAGGAATTGAGCTACAGATTAATAGTAACGATTCGCCATTCTTGAAAGATTCGTTCTCTCCATGGGACTGGCATAATTTGCAAGGTATGTTGCATGTAGTTGCGGGTTGGAATGGAAAGGGAGGGAAGTTTGAGCTGAAGGTGAAGAGGAGTTTGGCTCTTGTGAACAAGTCTAGTAATTTTCTTAAGGATAAATATCAGGTTCCAGAGTCATGGTGGGTTGAAAAGAATAAAGGCATGGTGCTTGATAAAGATGGAGACTGGGTTGAGGCCAAGCCATTCCAAGAGGACTAATTATCTGTCCACGAATTTTGACCATTATCTGGCTCCATTAATTCATACTCGTATTGTTGTTGGCTCCTAGTATTTCAATAATGGTGATGTCTGTGACATTATGTGTGTCCTAGGAACATCACTGATTACTTTTTATTTCTTTACAGTTATTGTGTGCCTGCATGTGTGTTTGCAACTTTGCATATTGTGAACGTAGACTGGTATGAATATTAAGTGAAGAAGGCAATAATTTCACAACTGTTCTACATTGAGTCACCTTTTTTTTTTTTTTTTTTTTTTTTTTTTTAAAGGTAAATTGAATCACCTGGCTTAGCATTCACCATACAATTATATAGTATCATTTTCATTATTAAAGCCACACTAGATAGCAAAATTTGATTGGATCATGGGGGTGTTGCTGGGTATTATTATTTGCATTAAAAAAAAAATTTAAAAACTGTCTTTTCCTTATTAATAAAATTTGGATCAATTTATTATATAACTTGTTGGGGCACAGCGGAAGCAAAAGAAAAAAAGAAAACAACAATATACGTGATTCACCCAAAATCAGGGTTACATCAACGGATGAGATCGAAGAGATTTATTATACATGTAGAGATATTACAATAATAGAGAATTTCAACACTGAACCATGCACACAAACTCTTGACCGAGTTCTCCGTATACTCTACGAGACTCCCTCTAGCCATCAGTGTTCGCTTTACCAAACCCGTAACTCACCCCTACCATCAACATATTCCCTCATGAGGCTACATCTCTCTCAACTCATAACTCTCAACAATAGCCTAAATGTTTATTTATAGAGTCACATACCCAATTTCTTTATGGACAATGATTATAATTTATTAGATCCCAATTCACGTCTCTATAAGAAATTACCATAAAAAATACACTCTAAAATAGAAACTAATAATAATGGGAATTTGAGATATAATTCTTAATAATCTCTACCTTGGCTCAAATTGCATTACGTCAATCATCGCTTCTCATGGCAATTGAATATGGATAATAATCTGCAACTTCAATCTTCTCAATCTTATTGCAGAACTCGGATTATCCCCACTATACGTTGCTTAATCAGTCAAACCCCAAGGCTCCACGTTGACTACTCAAGTTCCATGCCATGTAATCAAGCCGATTGACCCTACCCACAACTAAAGCCCGTTGTAGCATATGTTGAGACTTCTTGTATTTCCTAGATCTCCTTAACCTGGCTCTAATACCAGTTGTTGGGGCACAGCGGAAACAAAAGAAAAAAAGGAAACAACAATTCAAACCACAACCCAAGATATATATGTGGTTCACCCAAAATCAGGGTTATATCCACGGATGAGAAGAGATTTATTACATATGTAGAGATATTACAATAGTAGAGAATTTCAATACCGAACCATTCACACAAACTCTTGACTGAGTTCTCCGTGTACTTCACGAGACTCCCTCTCGCTTTCAGTGTTCAGTATTCCCTCATGAGGCTACATCTCTCTCAACTCTTAACTCTTAACAATAACCTAAGTGTCTATTTATAGAATCACATAGCCAATTCCTTTGTGGACAATGATTACAATTTCTTAGATCCCAATTCACGTCTCTATAAGAAATTACCATAAAAATACACTCTAAAATAGAAACTAATAATAATGAGAATTTGAGACATAATTCTTAACATAATTTGCAGTTATTAGTTAAGTTGTCTTTTCCTTATTAATAAAATTTAATTTAAATACTCTATGTTAATTCCCTTCATAAGGAGAAACACTTAATTTCTTTATTTCAAGACAGAAAGCTCTTCTCTGACCTACACCAGCAGATCAGAATACGTATAAAAGAGTACAAAAATCATGGAAACTCAGATATTATTTGTGGATTACTCGCACCTCCCTCAATTAACTGCATAAAGAAAGAAAGGAAAAATTAGTCAACTATTAGAATATTAATACATATAATTAAACTAGAAAAATGACAATATCTAATTAGCACAATGTTTCATTAACAGTGAACTGTCTCAAAATGATTTATTAATTTTCATATCTAATAGATATTAAAAAAAACAATATTAACTTGCCACTTTTATATGTTCACTTATTAAAAGTTAGTATTGTCAACTAAATATTTTGGTTAATTGCTGGTATATAACATTTTGATTTTCGTAGCAATCCCGAAGCTTAAAATGTTGTAAATTCCCTAAAATTTTCATCAATGTACATAGCCTGCATCCTTTACTTAAATATTATAGACCAAATATTTTATGCTACTCATTTTAAGATAAAAAAACATAGTAAGAAAATAGTTTTTGCAGATCAAGGGTTCAAGGTGGTTCCAATAATTAAAATTTCACAATTAGGTTGACTTTATTGTTGGGATTCTTTAGTATTCTAAAGAAACCTTTTAGGGTTCAAAACTTCTAGAGCTCAATTTAATATTAAACTTTGGATTTAGGGTTTTAAAATTTTAAAATTAATTACTTCTTAAGATAAATTACAACACATATAGGTCGTTTGACATTTATTATTTAACATTCTTTGAGATTTAGAGCGTGTGCTCAATGGCATCCACTGTCGTTAATGAAAATTTAAAAAATGATTAAGTTGTCATTCCCTTGTGATAAAAGGTTTCAATAACCTTATATTTTGACACAAAATGATTTAAAAAAAAAAATCATAAAATGCCATTGAAATGCAAAGTATCAATTTTCAAACCAATTTTATTTTATTATATTTTACAAAAATAATTTCTTTTTTGTTAATGACATTTGATTAGGTTTCTTTTTATGATTTGATTAGGTTTCTTTTATTCCAAAAACAAAAAAAGTAATATAGTGTTTACAAGAAGGTAAAAAATAATAATAGAAAAAAGTATGAAAGACATTTTACACTTTTAAAGTGGCCAAAATAATAAAGTCAAACACTCTATAATAATTTATCATTTTTTAAAAATATATATATATATATATAGATAACAAACCCTATCTTCACGCTTATAAGCTAAAGCTGCTTACGTCCGTGTGGTGACGCACCACCATAACCCCTCCGCCACGTCCTCCTGCTACCTCTCTACTTGTTTTTTTTTTTTTGGCTTTGCATGCACTAATTTGCCATAAGAGTAAGTAACTAATGACAGTACAAAAAACAAAACTCCTTTGAGATTTGTTAAACAAAAATTAAAGATTCATAATTAATTTAATTTCAAAAGAAGCTGTAAAAAAATTTAAAAAGGAAGAAATGAAAAAATAAAAAATGAAACATCTTCAATCCGATGTGGGATAAGAGTTGTTAAGTAAAAATATAATTCTACCATTAGTGTGAAACTCGTTAATATTCTTAAATTATAATAATATATTACATTGCATTTTGTACGAGTCGATAATTTTATAAAATCAGCAAATTTGTTAGAATAAAAGTGAGGCCAACGTAATTTACCTTAATACTACTTCCACATATATTTTTTTAAAATATATTTTTGTTCTCAGCGAAACACTCAATCCGTTTAATTTTGTAAGACTAATTTAAATATATATATATATATATATATATATAAACTTATGCTACGTTTGGTGTGGAAGAATGGAATGGAATGGAATGCCCATTCCAACCATTCCTCTGTTTGGTATGCAACTTAAAGTGAGAATGGTCATTCCATTGGAATGATTATCCATTCCTGGGAATGAAAATCCATTTCACAACTAAACCTATGGAATGGTCATTCCATTCCCAAGTAATTTATTTTAAAAAATCGACTTCCCAAAACACCCTCGTATTCCAAGTCAAAAAACCACAATACCTTCCACCACAATCATCTCCGCCTTTCACCACCACCACCACCACCACTACTACTGCTTTCCACCACCACAGACTTTCACCATCGCCCACCACTTTCCACCACCACCATCGCCACCGCCACCGCCTTTCACCACTGCTACCGCCACCACCTTCTACCACCACCGCTACCGCCATTGCCTTTCACCACCCTCTACCACCACCGCCGCTATCGCTTTTCACCACTGCCACCACCTTCCACCACCACCACTGCTACTGCCTTTCACTACCACCACCACCTTTCACCACCGCCACTGCCACAGCCCACTACCATCATCGCCATCTTCCACCACTGCCACAGCTACCTTTCACCACCACTGCCGCCTTCCACAACCACCAATAACACCGCCATCGCCTTCTACCACCTTCCACCACCTCCACCACCACCACCGCCGCTGTCGCTTTCCATCACTACCACCACCGCCACTTCCACTGCCTTCCACCACCACCGCCACTTCCACTGCCTTCCACCACCACCATAGTCACACCACTATCTCCTTCCACCACAACCACCACACTACTGCCACCGTCTTCCACCAACACCACTGCCACCTTTCACCACCACTGCTGCCACCAATTTCCACCATTACTATCACCGCCGCCTTTCAACACCACCACCTATACTACTATCGCTTTCCACCATCCACCATCGCCACTGCTACCATTTATTTTTAAAAAATGATTAGAGAATATCATTTTGTTAATTTAATTTTATTTATTTGTTACTAAGAGTGATATTTTGAAGAATTCAATTAGAAATTTATTCCATTCTAAATTTTAAATTGGTCCAACCAAACACTAGAATAGTTATTATTATTCCATTCCTACACATTTCATATTTACAACCAAACGATAGAATGAGAATGACCATTCCATTTCATTCTCATTCTCATTCCATTCCCACTTGTATTTCATTTCATTTCTGTACACCAAACGTAGCATTATAGTATGATTTATCTTGGAAAGGTATTTAAAATGTATGAGGATAAATTTTGTTTTGAGATATTTGAAAAGTAAAGTAAAAAGACATTTGCTTTTGCTGGGGCGGGTATCACTTTAAACAAGAAATTGACCGTCTACCATTTAGATGAGAGAAGGCAGAAAGCTTAATGGACCATGAGGAAATTGTTTTCTGTTTAGAGAATTTCGTTGATGAGAAGAGAGTAAATCCATTTCAAATTTTGC